TGCACTCGCCAGACAGACAGAGAGAGACATGGAGACAGAAAGCAAGAAATCACCCCCCAGGGGGGATGGTCACGCCGCAATCCCTTCTCCTCCATTCTCCTCTCGGGTTCTTGGGCACACATGCATACGCGCCTGGAGTGAGTTTTAAGTCACCGGGTCCAGGACGCGAACTGCAGTCGACTACGTGGGAGTCCAGCGACATAGCCATTACGCTAACTGCTGGTTCCCTTTCAAGTCTTTTTTGACCTCAAGTGCATCCTTGCTGTGATTTTTCCCAACATCGGAAAGATTGGGGACTTCGATTTTTAAGCTAAAATATAACAATTTCAAAGCGAATATCCCATTTCCATAGTTATCAGCTAACAGGAGCAAGATTCCTTACAGTGTGGGGGGCAAAGAATGAGCACCTTGAATTTGTTGTAAACATTCTTCATGCCTTTGCCATGGATTATCTTTCAGAGCTCTAGGACCTATAGTCTAAGTCTAGGAAAGGCAGTGTGCAAAAATTACCTTGTCACTATCCAAATTTTTTCTTTGCTCATGGAATTCAGTTGGGCTTTTCAGTGCTGAAACAGAAAGACAAAGACATGAGCAGAGGCTGGTTACGGGCGTTGGTCAGCTTCGCTGCATTTGCTCGTGTGCTTGATGAGCTCGGCGCAGTCTGTGGGTGATCGCCTTTATTAGGCCACAAGCAAAGGAGGAGGAAAGGCCTGGAGCACGCCAGCTGCCCTGAAGCCACAGGAGACAAAGAAAAGTAGAACTGGGGCCTCAAACAGGAGAAACAGGGGCAGAATGTGCAGCAGGTAGAGAATGGTGGCAGCAGGACATTCCAAGCTTCAGAGGAAAGAGAGGGAGGGTGGGAAACTGGGGACAGGAGTAGGGCCCTGGTTTGAGGGAGGGGGTGTACTTAGGTGACACCTGACAGCCTCGTGGCCTTTGCTCTGCCTTGAGTTCAGAAGGCTGGTGGATGATTGTGGCCTGGGTGTGTGCTGGGGCAGGAGGCGCATCATAGAAAGGGACTATATTTTGGATCAAGTATGAGACTAATCAATTAGGAACATGCAACTGAAAGTATTAAGTGGGAAGAAGAGAATCAGACTTGGAGAGCTGAAGGGAACCTTGCAGACGGGGACGTCTAACTGCAACCCTAAACAGAATGGGGAAACTGAGGTCCACAGAGGTAGAGGAACTTACTCAGGGTCATAGCTGGCACTAGGTCCTCTGAATCCCTCCCTCCCCCTTTTCAAGGTGTGATAGTCAAAATATTAACAACCAGTAGAGGCAGACACTACTGTCTGTTGGTCAGATAAACACAGCAGCTATGACAACCAGACTGGAGAACACCAGCCGCTCTACTCTCCCCACTACATCGTCCTCATGCTGTTTCCAGCACCTCTTCATGATGAGCTGGTAGATATTCTCGCCTGAGCAATGAAGAACAACCTTCAAGAAAATTCTACATTTTTGTTGCTTTTCTGGTCCCCTGCAATAATCTCAATGAGGAGCCACAAACAATCCCTTTCTATAAATGATGAGGGTGACCAGAGGTCCCAGAACAGCACTGGTATTTCCCCCCTTTAAGTCTGGACAAGTTGATAAATCACATGATCCAGAGTTCCGATATTTCTTACATTACAGGTTTCATTCTTAAGCGATAAGCAGTGAACTGCTCTAAACTTTAGCCAGTGAAAAAACTGGGCTTCCGGCCAGATCAGCACTTGGGGCTATCTGTGTGTGTGCGCGCCTGATTTGGCCCTTATGACCTTGCTAAGTCTGAGCACAGTTTCCAGCAGGACAAGCTGGCTCTTGCAGATGTGGCTGTAGTCATGGTGGCCACCATGTTAGTGATCAACCACGTTATCCTCTTTGCAGGATGTTGCTTGGGAGGTTAATAAGATACACCCTCTCTAAATCCCTGCTTCCCCCCAACATGAACAATACTGGCCAAAAGAAGGAGTGGAGTAGGCTTAGCCGGCTGCCTTCAGCAATCAGCTGACAGCCACTCTTTTCACTTTGACAAGAGAGTAAAAGGAAGCCATCTTACTGGAAAAAAACAAATGGATATGTTGCTTGAATATCACATTTCCCACTGATCTGGAGCACTAATTGTCTGATTGTTTTAGTGTCTCTTTGATTGCTGCTTTTCATTCTTAAAATGGGCTTCTTTGCAAAACTTGCCATTTTAGATTTTTTTTTTACCCCCAATTTTCTCTACTCAATGATTCTGAGAAGTAAAGGTACGACTATACGTTCGCGCCTGTATTTTCTTTGCTGTGAATCTGGGCGCCATGGTTGACAAGAAGTCTTTCGTTTTCCTGCATATTTGATCCCAGGTGCAAGTGCTCTGAAAAGCAGCTCCTATTTCTTCGGGTAACCAGTTTACACGGTCTGCCCGAAGTCCAGCAGGCCCTTGTTGAGTATGTACGGTTCATCCTAATAGGTCTGTACCTGGTAGTCATTTAGTAGGTATTATATGTTGGTGTGGCTTAATTACTTACATAATGCAGAAAAGGGATTGATCTTTGTGTGGCCTGATTAAGTGGTTAGAAGAATAATATATCCTTTTCCTCAAGAAGCTGCCCAGTGAGAACAGTATGACTATATTTTGAGATATCTTGTACATTCCAAACACAATTGGTTTTAACTCAGCTTGGGACTTTGGAGGGATTTATCTGGTTCCCTTGTCCCTAAGGCTCTTCAATTCTGATTAGTGGAGCTTATGAATTATTCCAGCAAACACTGCATTTCCTGTATCTTAGCTTCGTAGAGCTACAATTCATCACTTCTTGGTGTTAACTACTCCCCTGTGAGATGATTCACACAGTCCATTTCTCTGAGACCGGGAGCACAAAGGTCTTCTGGAATTTTCTACCATAGAGTGGGAGTAGCCACGCCCATACAACAAGGGACTTAGGAAAACAGCCAAAGAGGTCTACACACTGCATTTTATAGCATACTTTTTTCCTCAGGGCTTAAGAGATGTTATAAGGGGCTTTGACTTGAGGTCATACCATGGAAAACTACCCTGGGGTTGAGGTTCGCCTTTTCTGTGACTCCAGAAAATGTGGGTTTTAGCCACCTCCCCTGAGGACCAGCAAGAGGCACGAAGGCCCTTCAACCCCCTGTTGACTTTTTGGAAAATTCATAAAGGATCACTTTTGCTGCCAGGCCTGGGAATATCATATGACAACATTTTGTATTTAAAGGACATTGACATTTAAGATCGAAAAGGAATTTGGATTTCTAAATTAAAAAAATAAATCCATGTGATTTCGAATTAAAATATGGTTGTAAATTCAGTCAGTCACACGTCTCGTTGTTCTCCCTGGAGGAAGATTAATAGTTCCTCAGGAGGGAATTCTTGTTCTCGCCTTGGAGTTTGGTTGTGGGCTATTCTTATTTCTGTCCTCACAGTTTGGGCCAATCTGGCTTAGCTGAGCATATAAATATTTGCTTACGAAGAGCTCCGAAAAAGATGGTGAGATAAGAACAGGCCTCCTGCAGCCCCTGCTTACCGCTCTAACCTCGGGCATCCACCAGGGTCCCAAAGGAGAACAGAGCCTGTCGGGCCACAGAGAGCTCCGTTAAGACAAGTGGCCTGGCTCTTCAGAACAGGGTAGAGCACCTGGGGTTGGGAAGCAGCCCTGGCACAGAGGCAAGGACCATGCCTGTTGCAGGGCTTGACATCTCTGCTGGGACCATTTACAACCAGGCTTGGCGAGAAGGCAGCCTCACTGATAGGAAGAATAGAGACCAGAGACGGAATGGAAGAGCCAGAGATCTGGAGCAGCAGCTAGAGCAGTGGTTCTCAAAATGTGGTCCCTGGGCCCGTATCCTCCAGGCATTCGGGTGCTCAAGTTTGACAACCTCTGCTTTGGCATTTATAAGAATGGTGGGTCCCTATCTACAGTGCGCTAGAACCTAAGAGTTCTAAAAAGGAGCAATTGACAGGACTGATTTCATAAAGATGAAGGAAAAGGGTATGTTTGCCGAGAGGAAGGCTTAGGCAAGTAAAACTCATTCTTCATTGCTGCTGTCTAGAGTCACAGAAATCTGTTTCTGTTAGGATTATCACTGGCCAAGGGGCAGGAGTGGAGGTACAGTGGTAACAAAACGCTCTCTGATGATGGACCCATATGGAAAAGTCCCAGGTTTGCATCCTGGGATGTTACCTGTTAGGAGTGCATGTGTGTGTCTGTGGTCCCAGCTAGCTGGGTATGGGGGTGGATTGTGGCATGAAGGCACTGTTGGGAATGCCTTTCACTGTCCCTCTCATAGAAGAAATAAACTAAAAAACAACAACAACAACAACAACAAAAACTAGCTGGTAAATTTATATGCCATTAATGAATGAAAAATAGATATATGAATTAATAATGTATTTAGGATTTTTTTTTTGGTGGGGGGAAATAAAACTATTTGAACATAAGATCTATGGCAGGGATAGGCATAATTTTTTTTTTTTTGAGAGGTTTTTGCTATAGGGTGCTTGTGTTTGCCAGAAAGACAGAGACAGACAGAGAGACAGAAAGCGAGAAATCACTCCTCGGGGGGAGTGGCCATGCCGCAATCCCCTCTCCCCCATTCTCCTCTCAGGATCTTGGGCACGCACACACACGCACCTGGTGTGAGTTTAAGCCACTGGGTCCGGGACTCGAACCGCAGTCAACTACATGGGAGTCCAGCGACATACCATTACGCCAACTGCTGGTCCTGGGGTGGGCATAATTAAGGAGATCCTGGGAGACTATGAATTTGGGAACTTCCTAGCTTTGTCTCTATTTTTGATATAATTTGAACAAATCTGGGCATCTTCTGTGCTCTCAGTTTCCCACTTATAAAGTGGGTTTAGTAATGTGTGTCTTCTCTGTGCCTTGCTTTATAGGACAGACTAAATCATGAACACTTTTCTGGGCAGACAGGTGACGTGCAATGTGTAAGTGACGACATCCTGGACGTTATGTTCTCCTTTCAGGTAAGTCATACATTGCTTTTTCAGTACTGAAATGATAGTCTTGGGTGTCCAAACAGCGCATTTTCCCAATGGAGTTTGGAACTATTTAAGACCTGGCTTACACAGTTGGCAGATGCAAAAATTGACTTGATACCTTGGAATTTCTTGGAAGAAGGGTACAAAGACATTGAAAGCGTGCCTATCCTAGTAGGTTTTCTCATTTCTAAGGAACAGGGAACTGGAAAATTGAATGAGAGACAGGGGCAAAGCAGGAAGTTAGGATTGTTGACCCAGATGGGCCAGACTTGAACATCCAGGGCACCTTTTTCTATCTCTGATTTCGAGATGTTAGAAAGAAGGGAAGAGGCAGACAGATTAAGCCCCTTGTGCAGTGTGCTGCCCAGACAGCCATCCATGTGTGGTAGGGTGCCTCGGAGAAAAGCCAAACGAATGCACGGAGGAAAGGAAGAGAGACTGTGTCCCGTCAACTTCTCAAGACTATGGTGAAGCTGCCTGTGTTGTGGGTGCAGGAGCTGCCCCGGCCATTCTTCTTGCTATTCAGAAGTATCACAGAATTCAAGGATTTACCAAGGCTTTGCAGTAAGTATGTGG